CTTGACCACGTTTTTATATAGTAAGCATTTTAAGAATTTGCGGCAAAATAAAGCTATAAGAAACTAGAGAATAAGACAGCAAAAAGAAAAGAACAGAAGACTATATGAAGTAAAAATCTAAATAAAATGAGCTAAAAAATATTGAATATTAAAAAAAAAAAAATTGTTGTCAAAAAATATACCTAAATATTTTACTCTATGTTTTCTTATTTGTAGGGTGTTTATTATTTTCCAATACCAAAAATGATACAAGTCAAGGAAAAAAGTAGATAAGAATATAACAAAATTTTTTTTTTGATAGTCAGTATATTAAGGAAATACTTAATAATTTGCGCTAGAAACACTGACAATTTTTAAATTTGTTTTTTTAAAGGTCTTGCTAAACTTTACTGTTTTTATCAATGCACAGGAAAGCAAGGAAACTAATTGCTATTTATTTTTAAAAAAAAAAATTTTAAGTTTTTCATGTAAAAAAATAAAATGATGCTCCAAAATCTTGTGAGCTAGTGCATTGTTAATTTACTGAACTTTTTTAAAGAAATTTTTAGGAGCCTATTTAAAACTTTTTTTAAAGTTTTTAAATACATTTTTTTAAACAAAGCAATCGTTATGTTCATTACCTCTAGTGATTCATTTTAACATTGGAAATCGAGCAATATAGAAAAAAAAAAAAAAAAAAAATTGCAGACATGCATCAAATGCAGTAAATACATTTATTAAAGAAACATTATTCTTATATTTAACTTATTCTCTCATTACAAAATTTATTAATCAAATATTTTTTACAAATAGATAATAATTTATTTTCTTATTTTCCTATTATATTAGTATTTAGAAAAAACGTCAAATTTAAAAAAGTGAAAAAACGTAAAAACAAATAAACGTAATAAAGGAATAAACGTAAGAAAAAAAATTTACAAAATTTCTTATAGTTCTAGCGTACATAGCAAATTAGTTTCTTAATTATATGGACTGATATAAATTGCAATGAATTGAATAAATTGCAAAAATCAAAACTTTCATTTGTGGTTAAATCATTATAAAAAATGTTTTTTTCAACAACGACTCTAAAAAAAAAGAATACAAAGGTTGTATAAAAATTTTTATTAAAAAAAAAATTATTTACTTTTTTTAATTATTAAGATTTCTAGTTCATTTAATTTAACTTGATATTTCGTTACATTTTTGTTTCCTTTTTTTAGGATTTTTTTTTTTTTTTTCTTAGTAAATAAGTTTAGCATTTTGGCGGTAGGCGCTTTCCGGGAAGGCTTGTTATACTGTTGCTATATATTATTTTTAAAAATTTTTGAGCAAATAAAGCCCACACAAAAGTAAAATTAAAAAATTAAAGTTCATTTTAAAATTACTTTTCTACTTTTGCTTAAGTGAAGGTTAAGACAAATGAAATGATGGTTTCTTGAAGGAAATCAACTTTGCCGACATAATTGTCTCAGCATGACTCCTGTCGTATATTTAATCCAGATTAGTCTAGTTTGTTTTGTTGCTGTTACTGTGTGCAAAGAAAAAAAAAGAGCTTTATGAGCAAAAAGTATGCATTTAAAAGGTGAGAAATGTGATTAAGGCATTTTTTATTTCCACTACACTATTTAATATTGCAATTCCTAGGCAAGAGTTATAGGATTCAAATAACTGGGCTTGCTGCAGCTAAGTTTGACATTTCGAGCTGTTGCTGTGCGTAAAAAAACAACTGAATGTGCTCTGAGCTATTTGAAAAATGGGTTAAAGCACAGAGTTCTCGCGGAATATACATATATATATATATATGTATATTCCGCAAGAGTGGCGATTGTAACATTTGACACTTTAATCTGTTAAAAATGAACTGAAAATGAATATGACTTAAAAGTTTCCAGAAATGTGAAATACTATCATATAATTTAATATGCACAAATTACAGCATTTAAGTCTTGAACTTTTTTAAAAAATTAACTCTACGTAGTGTGATGGTTGTAACATTTACTTTTTACCACTTCTAAACAAAACAACTTTGTCAGACTTTGCAGTGAACGGCATTGTTAAAAAAATAATCATTTGGAGTGTGTATTGTAGTACATAATACCAGGGATGCGGAGTCCCAAAAGGACTCCGGTTTTTTAACTTAACTTTTTCATGGTCTCTGGTGTCCAGAAGCTCTGAACATGTTGGTGATTAATGATCTGTTATAAGAAAATTAATGATATTTAATGACTTGGAACTTATTGTTTTCAAGCCCGGAGTCCTGGAGTCCCAGAGTCCTTGCTGCCATTATACCTAAGGACTTCGGGTTCAAAATTGATTGTTCTTCTAACCTATAAATCGTGATTTTTTCCCTATTAGTCTATAAGCTTTTTTATATTTTTAAAGCTCCTGGATACCAAAAACTAGAAAGAACTAATCTTTTTGTGACTTTCAAATCCAGAATCCTTTTTGGGACTCCGCATCCCTGGCACATATTGATATTGTTATATGCTGAGTTTTATATATTTTACTTGAAGTTTTATAAACATATTTATGTTTTTTTTGTCGTGACTGTTGTAACTGTAAAGTCGTAACAAAAAATCCATTATTAAAAAACAACATAAAATGACCCAATCAAAGATGTAAGAAAAAATATATAAATGATTATTTAAAATCATGTCAATTATGTATAAATTATGGTTTTACAATACGGTTTTTAATGCTACAAAACAGGACTGTAAGTAAATGTCAAAACATGTTTTTACAACCCTTACACCTTTAAAACTTAAAACAGATTTAACAAATGATATAATAAAATGATTTTTATTAAAACTTTTTTGCTTATAAGTATTTTTAAATTGTTAAAAAAAAGAGTTATGGAGTTTAGTATGTGTTTTCATAACTTTTTTGTATTTTTTTCCCCTCTTTTTTACGCAAAATTGCTATATATATCGCACACACACACACACACACACACACACACACACACACACACACACACACACACACACACACACACACACACACACACACATATATATATATATATATATACCAGCCCTTGGAATTAAAAAAAATGAGGTGGGCAATTTTTATTCTATTAAATGTTGGCATATGGTCGGTAAAAAAAATTTGACACAGGTTTTACCATAAAACATTGAAACAAGATCAGCAAATTTTTGCTGACCTCTCACAATTTTAGGTTGTAATGCCGACCCCAATTTCAAGGGCTGATATATACAGGCTTGGTCAGGAAGACGTGCGATTTTACGTCATAATATGACCATGCAAATATTATTTGGTTTTTGAAAACTTGACCACGTCTGTTATAATGTTTTAAAATTTTGTTTGCATTTTAAAAATGCGCTGAAAAAATTATCTTAACTATAAAGAAACTTAAAAAAAACTTATCGTAAAAAAAACAAATAAATCTTTGTAAAAAAAAATAACGATAAATAAAATAACTTACCTATAACTTAAATAAAAAAAATTAAATTAAAACTTAACTAAAATAAATAATAAACTATAACGATAAGATTATCTAAATTACGTTTGGAATAAATAACCTTGAATCGTCAATCTTTACAAATGTTTTGATAATATTATGCGAAACCCTTTTAAAATAAAGTAACCACATCTAACAACTATCTATACATCTAACAATTGTTTACTAAATGCATTTAAAAGTTTCTTAACAAATATCAAATGCGTTTAAAAGGTATTTGATAAATGTATTTAAAAGATTCATAACAAATCTTTGCAATTACGTTGCAGTAATGTAATTCAAACGGCTTTTAAAAAAGTTTGTCTTATTTTTTTCTTTTCATCAAAATCGAGCTTATATTTGCTTTGTTAGCTTAGAAATAGGAATATTGATAAATATATATTTTTTTTATACTCATCATATTGCTGCTTATTTTGTTACAGGATGATTTGCCTAAAAAATTGTCAAATGATTCAAATAATCAATCATCATGGAGCAAAGTAATAGCCGTTGGAGGAGTAGTTGCTGCCACAGCAGGCTTGTTTCTGTTTTCAACTGGTATGAGGTGATCTCATTCAATCACAAAAGGGTTTGAAATCAGAGATGTAGATTGTTATCCTACACCATTTTGATGATTTTACTTGTAAAAAAAAAAAGAAATGGTTAGGGTCATGTTTTATACCATATTAAATTTCTTTAATAACTTCAAAAAATATTTAGATTATGTTATTTGATTTAAAATACCATGATTGACAAACATTCGAAATGCTTTTTTTAGAGCTTTTTATGTGCGTGTAATAATTAACAACATACCTTTGGGTTTTTTTAAAATGTATTTAAAACTAAGAATGTTCAAATTTTTTTTTGATTAATCTGTTTTTATTAAAATTAAACTTAATTATGGTTTTTAATTAGTTAGGCCTTCAAATTGTAAAGTGGTATTCATTGCCTGGAAGTTTCACGGTTTTAACATTAAACACCGTTTTTTTTTTAAGGGTTTTAATTTTTTTCAAAGTTGAATAATAAGTTTTAATTCAAAATATTTCGTTGTTTTAGCGTGTAATGGAAAATCGCTCTCTAAAACGATTTTTACACGCTATGAAAACGATTCTTTCACGGCTAACAAAACCATCTTTTTGTGGCTTTTACGGTTTAATCTTTATGTGCGGTTCTTGCTTGCTAGCGTTTTTTTTTTACGCTAACAAGTTTGACGTTTGCAAACATGTTTATATCTTATAATATGGCAAGCCTGAACCCGCAATATTTTATTACTATTTTAGTCTGATGTGGGCCAGCGTAATACTACGCAAGTGTGTATTAAGTGTTTTCCGAGTGGTATTGCGAGGGATTTTCTGAGTGGGTATTGTGGCTTTTTGGTTTTTATTTGTTTGTTATATAAAAAAGAAAATATTAGTGAAAACATCTTTTATTATTGTTATTATTATTTTAATATTTGTTATGTTGAAATTAGAAAAAAAATGTAAATTACAGTAGTATTCTTCTGCTGGATTTTTTGCTTTCATATGTTTTATTGAGGAAATAAATTTTATAGACATTATTCTTTTGTTGTTGTTTTTTTTAAAACAGACTTCTACTTTTCATTTCATCTACTATTTAAAAGAAAATATTAGATAGTGATCCGGAAAAAGTGATTTGTGAGATATATTTTTTGAAATATGCTTTGTTTAAATGTATATTTTGAAATTATATCCTTGTTTATTATATCTTTAAAAAAAAAGAAAACTTTTTTTGTTTTTTTTTTTTAGTCTTTCATTCTCTTTTCCTTTTGATTTTCCTATTTTATTTAAGAATAAATCCTAATAAAGCATATGCGTAGTTTAAATTAACCTGGCTAAATCTTTTTTTATAAATCAAGATCCGGATAAATGTTATGATAGTATCCGGATAAAAGTTATGATTTATTTTTAAAGTACTCGAACTACCTAACTATTTAACTTTAATCTAAATATTATAAAAGTATTAACTATTAGTAAGAAGTTAGTGCGACTGGTTGTTCTTAGAATGTGCTCTTATTATACGCAAATAAGTTTTTAAGTAACTAAAACTTGACTTGACAGACTACAAGCTACTAAATACCACTGACTATAAACTACAAAAACAATAGTTCAGATAGTCGTGCCCCAAAAACTCATTAACCCTAAAAGCCAAGCGCTCACATTAGTATCTTTAACTCGTAAATCAGGTCCTATCCAGAAGCAAAATAGATTTTTTTTATTCATTTAAATAAGTTTTTTCTATAAAAACTTGAAATTTTCATTTCAGTTCGCTAAGTCTTTTGTAAAAATTTAAGTCATACTTCTGGGAGAAAAAAGAAAAAAAGAAAAGATAAAAATAAATGAGAAAGACAGTTGCTAAAATAATTTATCTTAAATAATGCATTATTTCTGTTTTTTCGGGTTCCTTAAAAAGCAAAAAATATATATGCTGATCAAAAACTTAATTTTAAAATGGAAGTTGTTTTTCTTATTAACAATCAAGTAAAAGATTGACTAGTTTTTAAACCAATTTTTATATGTATATAAAAATTGTCTTCTTTTTTTTCCCAGAAAAAAAAAAAAAGGTGCCGCCAAGAAGTCCTTATCGTCTAAGCACAGAGCACTGTGGAAAAGCAAGGAAGTTCACGCCTTACAGATATAAAACTTGCCCAGAGGTGGCGTTAAACCACGGATCTTTAGCTTCTAAGGCAAGCGCGCTAACTACTGCGCTTCGGCCGTTCTTTAAGACCATTTAAAAGTATTTTTTATACATCCTCTTAAATATTGACTCTTAGTCTGGTTGATTATTTAATTGAATAAGAATAATAGAATCCTGTCCATATCACATATCGGTAATATAAACATAACAACTGTAAGGTAATTTTTTTTTGGAGTACCCTTTTAACTGCTAGCATATTTGCCTCATGCTCAATAACCTTACGTTTGAGAGAACTGTTGGTTACTGCAGCAACTAAAAACATTATTGATTTCTTTCCATCGACTTTACAAGATAACTGTCCACAGACTGACCTTTGTATATTTTGGTAAAAAGAACATTAGTGTAGTTTTATGGCATGACACACAACTTCTCCACAGTTGCATTCTTGTCTACACCGTAAAAATGCTTCTTTTTGTTTCTCTTTGTTTTATCTTCTTTTTTCCTTATCTTTTAGATCTTGATATTTTTAAATTGAATTACCTTCATCAATTCTAACACATTTTTTACTTTTATTAATCCACAAATCTGCGTAACCCACGTAGTAACAAGTTTTTCGCTTATCTTTCTGCATTGTCATTAAGTCAAGGATTTCTTAATTTGTATGCTCTTTTTGCTCAACTCTTGTGAACGCTCAAACTTTTCTTTCCAATACTAAGTCAACGCATGTCATTGACGTTTAATGATGTGGAAGTTACTCCAACACGTCTTGCATCTTTGATAACAGATTGTTTTGGAGCTCAGTTGTTACAAATACGTATGAAACCTTTATATATATATATTTTTTATTGTACCCTATGAAGTCTTTTTAAAAAAAATGTAAAAAGTTCTTTTTCCTTTTTATTTTGTCCACAAATTTTAAGACAAAAGTTTAATTTTTGATAAAACCTTTACATCAATTTAATCTAATAAATTTATGTAAATACTTTTTACAATTTCTAAATCTTTTAAATTAAATATTATTATTATCATAGTTACAACAATTAGAGTTGCAAAAAAACGAGTTTTTCCCTCTTGCGTTTTTTCTTTTTGCATTTTTTTAGTTAAAAAAAAATCATGTTTTATTAGTTATTCCAACAGGCCTCCTATAATTACAAAGAAATATGATACAACATCTTTTTAATCTCAGTTATAAATACTCATGAAAAAAAAAGTGATGAGGCAATAGCTGCCTGAAAATGATACTAGAGTATTTATAATGACGCATTCACGGTTCTCTTACCATTTAAAAGTATGTTCCCTTTTTGCAGCAAAAACAAGACCAGCAGGAGTACTATTAACATAATAATTAATAAACTGTTGCGTTTCATTGTGATTAAATATTTTCTCTATATTATATATAATTTTTCCAGACCAAAATCCAGTCTCTTTTTGTTCTGCTTTCGTCACAATCAATTATTCAGCTTCAATCAATTATTCTGCCTGAGCGTTTAAAGGCAACCATGAAAAACAATTACTCGAACTATTTTTTATGAATGTAAAATAAAGTAACAACACATAAACTGATAGTAAAGAGTAGCTCTATGTTAATTTTTAAATGAAGCAAATGTATATTATAAAATGTAATCAAAGACACAATATTTACTCATACCAAGGTGGGAACATGCCATTTGTCTTGTGCAATTGAGAGGTCTATGTATCAATTTTCTTGTCGCTTGAGTGTTAAACTTGGATTATTTGCTTTAAAGCGCATCCAGAACGATTTACCTGAGTTTTAAACAAAATAAAATGTTAAAAAACAAAGCAAAAAAATTATTCTAACAAAGCTACAAATCCTGTATCTACAGCAAATCTTTTTATATCTTAGCATTTTGTTTTATACTATCTTTTAAAAATATATATAAGAAACAAAAATACTTGCTTTTTGTCAAAGCAAGTATTTTTCTTTTACCTAGAGAATTGCACAATAGTGCTTTTTACCTATTGAATATTTTCCCATCAAGTCTACGGTCTATTAAGTCTATTCTACGGAATTGTCTAGTTTAAACTGCATCATGTCCTCTTACATTATTTTCTGTACACCATTGAACAGCAACTTTAAGTTGTTGCAATTTTTTAATGTTGCTTTTCTCTTTATAAGTGTAAAATTTTCTCTTTATAAAGGTAAAAAACATTTTTGAAAATTATTTAGGTCTAAAAGATATTAAAATTGAAAGGGCACATAGAACTGGTCATAAGGATTCACTTAGACCAAGAACTATAATCATTAAGCTTCTAGACTTTAAAGATAAAGTAAATATTTTAAAAAAATCCCCTAACCTAAAAGGAAAAAATATCTATATAAATGAAGATATCTGCGCTGAGACATTGCAAATTAGGAAGGTGCTGAGAGAACAAATGAAAATGGAACGAGCGGCAGGAAAATTTGCAAGTATTTCATACGATAAACTTATCATACGCGATTGGGCTACAAAGAAAATTATAAATGTATAATCCTAATATTTTAACATCTTATTTTCATGATTAGTATATTTTACTTTTTTAAAAATGGATGATAATCTTCGACTTAATTCTAATACTGAGTGTGATGATGACTATTTTATTCAAAAAAATTTTGAAAGTGAGTATTATTCAATATTTGAATCTACTTAGTTTCTTAGTAAAATAAAAAATAAAAAAAGTTTTTCAATTTTCAATCTAAACATTCGAAGTATTAATAAAAATTTTGATAATCTAAAATTTTTATTGCATGATCTAAATCACGATTTTAAAATAATTAGTCTCACGGAAACGTGGTTGAAAAGTAATGAAATAAATTCTAATTATGAGCTAAGTAATTACGTGTCAATTCACCAACCGCGTCAAACCCACGTTGATGGTGGTTTAAGTATCTATGTTCACAAATATATAAACTTTATTTTACGCAATGATCACATTGTTAACGAAATAGATTGCGAGTCGTTATGCATTGAAATAAATAAGGCAACCAAAAATATTATTATCAATTCTATTTATAGAAAACCAGCTGGTAATTTCAAAAGATTTCAATCTTATTTGAAAAATTTCTTAAGCAAAGTTAACATTACAAAGAAACACGTGTACTTAACTGGTGATTATAATTTAAACTTGTTAAATCATGCTTCAAATGTAAATGTTCCATGTTTTTTAGATACACTTCTTTAATATTCTTAGTTACAGATAATATAACCCTTAGCCATTCCGTCTTTAAATTTTTTTTTTTTTTTTTTTTTTTTTTTTTTTTACGGACATACGGCGAACAAAGATGGCTGCCTAATTGAGTATTCAATCAACTTTTTTTTAATCCGTGGTTATCGAAACAATCATAAAAGAAAAACGAATAAAGAACCTTAACAATAATACATTATATATTTGTATTTATAAGTTTTAAAGTTAATTTTAAAAATAATGGAAATTACATTAAAAAATATCGAGAAGTTAATTACAAACAAACTCGAAGAACAAAAAAAGAGTATTTTAAAAGAAACAGAACGCCTGTTAAAAGATCAAGAGAAAAACTTTACTGATATAATTAGTGCTAATTTAAAAATACTCACTAATCGGTTAGACAAAATTGAAAAAGAAGTAGATGTAAACAAATCCAAAGTCTTAAGCATAGAAAACGACCTTCGCGATTTTAAAGAAAGTCTTAACTTCCAAGAAACAACTATTATGGAAAAAATAAATAAGATCACGAAGCGTTACGAAAAGGAGATAAACAACTTAAATAAGAAGACACTAGATTTGGAGAATCGATCTCGAAGAAACAACCTAAGATTAGATGGAATATTTGAAAAGCCAAATGAAAATTGGAATGAGTGCGAAAATGCAGTAAAGGAAATGTTTAAAAAACAACTAAAAATTAGTAATGAAATTATCATAGAAAGA